AAGAAAAAATATATTGTGCTTCTTTATAGTATTCCAGTAGTAACTGTTAATACATACAAAATAAGCCATATAAAATACCCATATCATTCTGCTTCAAAAGGACATAGACAGAAATGATCTCTGTAAGCTACAGGTAGGCATTAATGTCAGGTTATAATAAATGTATATTTAAAGGTAAAAAATGGGTGTAATATCCACTTTATATAAACATTAAGCATGCTTTTATTATATGAAATACCTTTTAAAATCTGCATGAAGAAAAACATGGTTTTCTTTTTAATATAATAAAGTTCTTAAGCTATTAAAAAATTCCCCTTCATAACTGAGCTGCTTTAGTGTGGTTTAAGGCACTATTTAAGAGAAAAATATTAGAGAAATCCAATAAAATATTTATCCGAAGATTTTTAATAAGCAAGCAAACATTGCTGAATGGAAGAACACTTTCCAGCTAAACTTTCTCCTCCCCTCCCCACATTGCTACATATCATTTAAAACGACTGCATTTATTTCTTTGAGAAAACAAACATAACTCATGTCATAAGATACACTTACCTAATCACTCTGGAGGTTAATAATGGTGATGGGGGTCATAGACCAATATGGACTAAAAGATCAGGTATGTTTTAGAAAAGCAGTTCCTCTTTAATTGTCCAAAGAACGCATTTTCAGGCTTGAATTAAAGGCAATCCATTCTCTCTACCTCTCATTTCAAACCACAGTCAAGAAGCAGTCTCCCGCCCTTCCGGAGAGAAATACAGCAGACACACATAAGAAATATGCTTTGGACCTGTCTCCAAAATTCAAAGCAAGAAGCAATGCTGGTCCTGTAGAAATCCAGACTCAAGTAGCAGAATCATGTTGAACTTGTTTTTAGCATTTTCTCAGATCCTTCTATGAAATTTCCCGGCTGATTACGCCTCCTCCACACATGAGTTCACTTACACAGTGTTTGCTACGGCAGTAGAGGTGATTTGGCTAGGCTCGGTGGATCACAAACAGCAACAGCATGCTGTCGCTTAAAACCCGCTCCGCTGGCAACGGCATCAGCATCATCCACAATATGTTGCTCGAATCCCTTCTTACACACCAGAAAATACTAACTGTGGACGTGAAGGAAAGGAGCAACTTTAGCTGGGTTTCTGCATCACTGAGAGCAGTTTGCAGACTGCTGATTTGGAGCGCATTCTGCCGGCAGCCGGGAATTCCTCAGCACCACGGACAGCGCCAACTGGCTTCTGAGCCCATCAGGGTCGAAATCCCGAGCTGCTTCTTTAGACCAGGCTGGTGTTCTCTAAGCAGTCGCACTTTATACAGCTGATGC